AGCTCTTACTGCAATGTCTTAAGCACAACAGAAACTCCAAGAAATAATGATTTAAAAATATGAAATGGGAGTGAATGTCTAAAGCCACTTGTACTACGTTGGTGTGGCCTCAGGATGGATTAGCAGGCTCTAAACAGCCCTCTCATGTGTGGAACTCCGACTGAACAGGCGCTGTCTGGCAGTCAAGGGCACCACCCGGAACCAGAATCCAACGCTCAAATCCCAACTCTGACCCCACCAGACGCATGACCTTGAGAAAGTCACTCAGCCTTCCGATGCCTCAGTTTCTTCATCAATAAAATGCGAACTTGATGAGCGGGTGCTCCTCCAAGTGTTTAAACAGTGTCTGACACCCACTGCCAGCAACGCACACTGCAGCTACTGCCAGTCTCATGGCTGCTGATGGAGCAGGGACAGTTCTGCTGTAATGACTGTCATGAGCTTAAATGCAAGTCGTCACTCACCAAACCAACTCTATAAACCAAAAGTGGCAAAATCCATTAAAACCAAGACTGTTACAGTCTCCCAAGGCAACAGAAATAAAAGCAAAGTAAACAAATGGGACCTAATCAAACATAAGCTTTTACACAGCAAAGGAAACCATAAACAAAACGACAACCTACGGAATGGGAGAAAATATTTGCAAACAATGCGACCGACAAAGGCTTAATTTCCAAAATATACAAAGAGCTCATACAACTCAATATCAAAACAATAAACAACCCAATCAAAAAACGGGCAGAGGGGCTTCCCTGGTGGCACAGTGGTTGAGAGTCCGCCTGCCGATGCAGGGGACACGGGTTCATGCCCCGGTCCAGGAGGATCCCACATGCCACGGAGAGGCTGGGCCCGTGAGCTGTGGCTGCTGAGCCTGCGCGTCCGGAGCCTGTGCTCCACAACGGGAGAGGCCACAGCAGTGAGAGGCCCACGTACAGGGAAAAAAAAAAATAAAAACAGGCAGAGGTTCTAAATAGATATTTCTCCAAAGAAGACATTCAGATGGCCAATAGGCACATGAAAAGATGCTCAAAATCACTAATTATTAGAAAAATGCAAATAAAAATTACTATGAGGTACCACCTTACACCAGTCAGAACAGCCATCATTAAAAAGTCTTGAAATAACAAATGCTGGAGATGGTGTGGAGAAAAGGGAGCCCTCCTGCACTGTTCGTGGGAATGGATAGTGGTGCAGCCACTATGGAGAACAGAATGGAGGTTCCTTAAAAAACTAAGGAACCATATGATCCAGCAATCCCACTCCTGGCCACATCTGGAAAAAACTCTAATTTGAAAAGATACTCGCACCCCTATGTTCATAGCAGCACTATTTACAACAGCCAAAAGACATGGAAGCAACCTAAGTGTCCACTGACAGATGAATGGGTAAAGAAGATGTGGTACATATATAAAATGGAATAATACACGGCCATAAAAAGAATGAAATAATGCCATTTGCAGCAACATGGATGGACCTAGAGATTATCATACTAAGTGACGTAAGTCAGACAGAGAAAAACAAATACCATATGATATCACTTACATGTGGAATCTAAAATATGATACAAATGAACTTATTTACAAAACAGAAATAGACTCACAGACACAGGAAAAAACTTACGGTTACCACAGGGGAAAAGGTGTGGGGGAGATAAATTAGGAGTTCGGGATTAACATATACACACTACTATATATAAAACAGATAAACAACAAGGACCTGCTGTATAGCACAGGGAACTGTATTCCCTACCCTGCAATGAACCATAATGGGAAAGAATACGAAAAAGAATAGATAGATAGATAGATGTGGATAACTGAAGCACTTTGCTGCACACCAGAAACTAACACAACTTTGTAAATCAACTATACTCCAATAAAAAACTAAAAAACAAAAGCAAAAACAGAAAACCAAGACCACTGAAGCCCGCACGGCCTCCAGCTCCTTCCGGTGACCCAGGAACTGGCGGGCAGGCGAAGCTATACGTTGGCTCCGCTCAGTGTTTAAAAGGAGGAGGAGCCCCCGCCACTGAAGGCCACAAACAAGCTCTCAGAGTGATCAGAGGGTGCGCCTCCCTCCCGTCGTCGGAACCGTCCCACATGGGCACGGCACAGAGCCAGAGATGAAGGGCCAGGCGTAAGAAACGGCTCACTGCACCAGCCTGGGCACTGGGACCAGCCGGGCTCCCCCGATGCCCCAACCCGGCCCCTCAGAGGACCCCACTGGGGCCTTAGGGCGCCGCTGTGGCTCATTCCACGGGTCAGGCGGGGACAGAGGCGGGGATCCTCCAACTGGAGGATGAGGCCGAGGTGAGAGGAGGCTGTCTAAGGAGAGGAACACCAGCCCATCTGTCTGGGGCCTTTGGACTTGGCCAGGGAGGTGAAGGCAGGAGACGGTGCCAGGACCTGGGAGGCTGCCCGCCGGAGGGGTGCCAGGGAAGGGCCGTGTCACTGCCAAGTCTTTCCTGCTACACTAGGAGCCTCCGTCCGCTTAGAACAGAGTCCCCGCCTCGTCCTCCCCGGGCCACGCCTAAGCCAGGCAGAGGGCCCATCCTGCACGGGAACCTGCAGACTGGCCCACGTCTGTCTAAAGGGATCGGGGTGCTGTCCGAAAGGTCCCTGCACGTCTCGGGTGGTCAGGAGATGCAGGCGAGTCTGCATTCCCCTCAGAACCATGACACCCACTGGAGGCTATAAATGACGGTTTCGGTGCGCTCGAGAGAGACAGCACGTTGATCCTGTGGCCTCGAGCACCCCAGCGCCTACCCCTGAAGGTTCTGTGCCCCAAACTCAGGAGCTCCCATGGTGGTGGGACGGCTGGAAAGCCATCAGGGCTGAGGTGCTCCTGAGGGACCCTGCGGGCTGTGCCAGGCCGGGGCCACCACCGCTCCCAGCGAAACTCAGTGGGACCAGGCCGGGCGCCAGTGAGAACCTGGGCTGCCGGGGCCCCCCAAACCCTCACACACCCAGCCTGAGGCCTCCTCGCTCCTTGCTTCCATATAATGGCGTGGGTCGAACTGCACCCACTTTACAGGCGAAATCGCAAGATGCTACCAGGGTGGCCAGGATGGAGAGCTGGGAAGCAGCTGGGAAGCAGGGCCCACTGCCCATCTCTGGTGGGGCCACCTCTCCTCACCGCTGTCCCACCTCCACCTTAACGGGGAAATGCTGGAAAATAACTGGGGATGATCTGGCAGAAATCACTGGACCGTCAGCATCTAGTGCCCTTTCTAGTTGTTCAGTCCCATGGCCTTGGGCCTCACTAACTACACGTGAGCTACAGAGAGGTTCTCACGGAGGGGTCACATTCGCCTCCTGGTCTCTGGCGCTCTCCCCCCTTAGGGCGCAAACACTGAGATTAACTCAGCATCCGTGGCATCTGGGCCTGGGTCTCCTGCTCATCTGCTCGGACATCTCAGCACCCTCATTCCAAAGAAACTCACCACATCTTTTGAAATCCCAGAGACGAGTCTTTCAATTTACTTTAAATCAGCCGATTCCATCCGTAACTGTTTTCTGAGCAGTGATTACACACAGCTGTGTGAGTGAGCTTCCAAAAGGGGCCACGTCCCACGTCCGCCCGACCATCTGCTCAGTGCCGTGCACACTCACCGTGGCCCTGGGCCGCACGGCCCTGCGGAGCCAGCCTCACCCACCCACGTGCCCTCGTTCTGCTTCCACGGTGATGCATTTTCTTATAAAATTATCAGAAAGAAAAGCTACAGTGTTTTTTTTTAATCTTCATCCACATAGAATAAGTTCCAAAAGAGTTTACTACTAATACAGCTTCCCTGCCAGCACCTGGACTCTGAAAACAGATTCTCACAGAAATTCTGGTGACGGCTAAAGTCAGATTGACAGCAGTTATAGATCCCTATCGATAATCTGGAACAAGCTACATCTGTCACTTGCTCCTCCAATGACAGAGACATAAGCTAGGATAGATGGGTGTGTGGCTTGCTGGGAAAAGGAGTTTGAATGTCTAGTTTACTTTAACCTACAGCAAATTCACTATCATTTTTCAAGACAGAGAACATAACTCTGCAAGAAGTTTTTTGCCTGCAAGTAGTACCTACTTGGGCTGTGCAAGAGGATTTAATGCTGCTTTATTCACCCTCCCTCCTCAGCAGGAGAAAAAAAAGATGTGGAGGGAGGTTTTCTCACCTGCATTTATAAACGTAAGTTGTGAGTTAATCCAATTCTCTGTAGTTATTTACAAGGCCACTGTGATATTTATTCCAGAGTGTGTGTGTTTGTGTGCACACGTGCACACGCATGCGTGCATCTATCATAGTACAGACTTCTACTGACTTGCAGGGGAGGTTGCATGTTGCAATAAACAGACATAATTTAAACACTGTTATTTATAAGAAAAATCAATTCCAAGATTCCTCAAGAGCAAACAGTTTCTAGACGCTCTGTGTGGAAGCCCACATCTCTGTGCTTCCTTTCTACTTTCCTCCCAAAGCCAGAATATGAATGCTAGTTACTGACAACGACAGAGTAACAACAATTAAGGAAGTCATGAGGCCAGTTTAGCACCATAGACTTTGGACTGACACAAACGCTAAAACGTCCCAGAGACAGGAAGGCGGACGGTAGGCTGGGCAGAAGCCTATGAAGGATCGTGACCATACAGCACGCGTGTGCACCGAGAAGCTGTGATTCACTGGTCCTGCTATCACACGTACTGATAGGTGATGAGAAAGATGCAAGTCCAGCTGCCCTCCTGAGGGTGCAGTTAATTAAGGACGAGGGCAGCTACATCCACCCGTGGAGACCCTCGGGCACGTCACTCCCGCTCCCCGGGGTCAACGCTCCTGGAACAGCCATGATTCCAGCTTCAATTCTTAGGCTTTGGATTACAATAACCACTTAGTATAATCTACATTTACCCACAGTATCACAACTTCTCTGTGAATGCAGCACTTCCCTGACTGGAACATCTTATAAATCATGGGCCGACCCAACAGTGGGCGCACACAGACCCCTAGGGATACTCACTCTTGTTGTAGCAGGTGGCCAGCACTCCCTTGTCTGCAGGGCTGGCACTAATGTGCCAGATCTCACCCGCTTGATGGAGGAGCACATTTTTATTTATAATGTTATTCTCATCATCAAAGTCTATGATGTGGATCTACAAACACAAGGAAAGAGACTGTCAGAACCTCACACGGTTTCCACATGCCTTCACGGAACACAGTGACTAGAGGAATAATAATCAAATGCATCTTTCACATCTTTACTTAACAGTTATTCTTACTACACCAACAGTATACACTTAGGACAAGTGTGAAATGCCCACAAAGTATTGTTACGATTTGCAGCTACAGAACCCTGCCCCCTGCCACATCAACTCCTAAAGAGACAAGACACCAAGAGCTGCGTCCCCGCCTCGCTTGGTTAGGCCATGGCTGGTGCCAGGGCCAGAGTCTTCCAGGATGGTGCCACCAAAAGCCAAGACTGTCCCAGGCCTGCTGCACAGCTGTGGGACGAGAACAGGGCAGGGCACTGCTGCCTGATGAGGCCCAGTCTCAGCCCTGCTCTGCCCACCCTGTAGCGGGCACAATTAAACTCACGTCGGAAAGAAATGAGGCAGGAAGGGGTGAGAAAGCGCTGCGTGCTAGCACATCTTAAACCTCTCTTTAAAAACAAAGCCAACAGCTGTCAATGCTTCTGATCACATAACATTGATTATAATGACATGACATTTTAGCTACTAAATGAAAAGTTACATGTGCTATCTGGATAATTTTTAGAGGAATGGAAATGATGTCCACGTTCACTCTCTTATCAACAGTCAAGTCACTGGAAAAAATAAAATTAAACATTTTAAAAATAAATTTATACTTGTAATCATGAATCTGCACAAAGATTTATATCCGAGAATGTTCACTGTGGCACTGATTGTCATAATGAAAAATTAGAAGCCACCTAAATGTCTGGCAACAGGGAATTGTTCAAATAAACTGTAGTACTTGACTGTAATATAATACTATGAAGCCATCCATTCTACTATAAAAACTATTTAGTCCCAGGGAAGAGGGTCCGTAACATATATCCAAGGGGAAAAGAACCAGTAAGAGAACCGCACACACGCACCACACGCTTTCTGTTAAAAAGCAAGCACATCTGAATGAGAGAACCAGAAGGCGACTGGTTACCTTTGGGTGGTGGGATTATAGCGGCTTTTCCTTTACTTCTTTGTGGTTTGTTTTTATTTTTAACATTTCTCATGATTAATATGCACTACTTTGCAGTCAAACATTAAATGATATTTTAAAAACTGTTTCCATGACACCCGAAGCATCTCCACTCTGCACTTGCTCAGGGCCTCTCACTCTGTTCTCGGCTGCTTCCTTTGTACAGTGTCCTCATGTGAAAACAACCCCCGGTACCTTTAGGGGTCGCTCTGGACTCAGAGCAGAATTCAAATCCCGCCGTTCCCACTTACAGCCTGTGTGACCCGAAGCCTCAGTGTCCCCGAGAATACAATGCAGGTGAAGGGACAAAGCTCCTGGGATTGCTGGGACCAAGGGGTCATGCAGGGCTGATCTCGGAGTCGGGGGGCACACACACTAGCTCCCGCCCTTCTCTGGGGGAGGGAGATTAAAAACCATGACTGTTGTGTTTATCTTTAAAACTGCTTTCGGTCATTTTCTCCCAGCACTCCTAGCCCAATGTAGTTCTCACAGTGGGTGTGGAAATGCTCCTGGCGGACGGCTTCTGCATTCTAGAAGGTAGACGTGAATACAGACTAAAAGGCAATACACAAAATCAGGCAGAATTTGTGTGTTGTTAGGGTGAACAGGAAATTTTTTTCTTAGGTATTTGACATGATGCCTCCTTATCAGAAAATCCATGAACACTTAAAAAGGAGGCACTTAAATGTACAATTCTTCCTCTCCCCAGAGCTCTCCCTCTGCAGTGCCCTGAAGCATCGGGACCACCACCCGGGGGAGCACAAGAGCTCTGGCTCCTCTTCTGCTGGCTCTGTGGACCCAGATGCCAGGTGAGCGCACAGCCCCCCTGCACGCCTGCGGCTCCTGGCTGGGAGCCGTCCTTCCACCGGACCTCTGACCTCTGCGCCCGCACTTTGCGCTCCTCTGGAGGACCTGCTCCATCTGGGGAAGGCTCTTCCTTCTTGTGAAGACCAGAAGCACGTGGGGTCCAAACAGGCTCTAGTACGTGATCCCAGCTGGTCTTCCTCTGGCCTCGTTTCTTACACACTCAGGCACACAGAAGTCAGCCTCTGCCCTAGACGGCTGGGCGTTGGGAGGAGTCCAAGACCCCCCCAGGTCCACCTCTCCTAACCTGATACTCTGATACTATGGCCCTTAACCTTCATCATTAAGCTTGGGAGTCCTAGCATTCTTCCATGTCCTCACCTACAGCAGGCTCATGGACGGGTCCAAAGGATACGTCTTCATGAGATGTAATCCGGGTACGCTTGGAGAGAATGGTAGGACATCATCACCACAAACAAGTAGGGATCAAAAGAATAATGACTAACATGCAAAATGCGACAGGCACCGAGCTATTTTACACACGCTGGTTCCTTTAATCCTAAAAAGAGCCCTGTGATAATATGATAACCTATCATTATTAGCCACGACTACAGGGGAAGAAACCAAGGTTTACAGAGCTGGAGTATCACGGTTCATTCGGTTAGAAACGGGATTCCAGAGCCTGTGCTAAGAGCCTCCACACCATCGGGGCACGGGATACCCCACCCTCCCGGACACTGCGCTTTGCACTGCAGCAGGGCAGCAAAAGAGTAGCAGCCAGCTCCTGATTCAGAAGAAAGAGACTGTGACTTAACTGCCTGTTCTCAGGGCACCACCCTCTGCCCAGCTCACATAAAGTACACAGAAATGTTCTATAGCATAAACATATGCAGTTACAGGCCAATTACAGAAACAAGTACTATAGTGGAGAAAACACTATAATTAAGGTGAGTGCAAAAGATTATGGGGGCATAATTAGTGTTGGCTCAGAGGGTGGGGAAGACCTGTGGTTGTCTGGGTAGTGTGTAAATGTTACTTTAAATACTTTACGCAATTGCTGAGCTTTGAAAATGCTTCCAACAGCTTGTAATGAAGCTCAAGGTCATATATTTTGAATTACCATTATTAAAATTTTAAAGTTGGACTTACCAGTGCAGGGCTAAGGGCACAGATCACACTATAAAAATTTAGAAGCCAGAGTTATAAAACTTATTAGGTAGCCTCTAAAGATGATCTTAATCAAGCCCTCTCATCTTCCCGCAGAATCAGGGCTCAGAGAAAGCTGTCCCTGTCCACAGTACCCATCACTGGAGCATGTGACTCCAGGCCGCTGCCCTCTGTGTGCTTCCTTTCTTATTGAACTCAAGGTAAACTCTTAAAAATTCAAAAACAAAAACAAAAATGTGGTAAAATTGGAAAGGAAAAAGCGAAAGCTCGCCTCCGGGGGAAAGTTAAGGATCCTCCCTTCTCGCTTCCAGCAATCACCCTGGATCCAGCCTCACCAGAAACCCAGCTCTTCCTGATGCTTCCTTAACAGGGTCACAAGTCCCTGTAGTCATTAAAGGAGGGGGAAGGATGGGGCGGACTCAGGGGGAGGGGGGGAGATGGGGGGAGATGGGGGGAGGGAGGGAGACGGGGGTGAGGGGGGGGGGAGGAGGAG